TGGCAACTCATCAGGCAAATAAGCCTTATACCACTTTAAATATCAACTCTCGTTTGCGCTGAAATCACAAATTAGAAAGCTGAAATAGTACAGCGCCAACAACTGACCTGTGTGTATGTCTCCGTATATTCCAAAAATATTCTGTATTCATTGTAATACAGACAATACTTCTAACAATGGAGGGCTGTTCCATTTGGTGGTGTGGGAAAAACAGCAAAAAATCTAATTACAAAACAAACAAAATCACATAATATTATGTAATTTTTCAATTTTCGTCCATTATAGCAAGACTTAAGGTAAACTCGTCGATTTGAAGTGAAACAATAGACGACACCTTTCGATTGTTTCGAATTCGGGATGGCCAATCGGAGCGCAGTTATCACCATAATGATTTGACAGGATAGTTTTTTTTATTTGACAGTAATTGTTTCAGGCGATGTCGGACGGAGAACGTGAGTGCCTGACTTGAAATAGCGGATATCCTTTAAGTACTTCTTATCAAAGTCTAGCACAGCCAAAGATAGTTTCCAAAGCTATACATGACTTCATTTTTTGCACATGTCACATTTTATATATCAACAACACGTTAAAATTATCACAGTAAGCAAATAATACTGACTTAAGTAGAAGGTACGAAACCAACATTAAGGGACTCACCACATTCATCGCCTTGAGCCAGTCCGAAAAACCTTTATGTAAATGCAATAATAGCGAAAAAGACGTAGCGCGTTTCGCTATTATCGCGCGGATCGCTGACTCCAAACCGACAACTACATTTATGCTCATGGACATGAAGATTTTTCAGAAAGGCTTAATGCAAATTCGTGACGATAAGTGTAGTGACTCCGTAAGAACCGACAAATTACTTCTGAACCTTGACATTTGCACGTATATATTGTATTTAGTTGCAAAATCTGAAACATGTATATGTATCTTGTTAGATGTCAAAATGAATCCTATTATATTTTTAATAGTTGCGTATTGATTGGCAAGGTATGAAGTATCTGTCGGCCGTAATAAACAGGTACGTATAATACTGATATTGTTAACATTTATCTTCTAAACCATTGACTTACAATTATATGGACGTCGGGTCCGCGCTAAAAAGTGTCCGAACTTATAGGGCGTTAAAATCGTATACAGAGCGTCATTCACGCTCTAGTCTTCGTTTGTTCGACTGACAGCGAAGCAAGCAAAATTAGACAGTACTGCGATGACATTACAATTTAAATTCAACGTTTTAGCTTTTTCATATTCCTTGACATGTCACTACGTTTAAATAGGTTGACTTGGGACATTTTTTTTCGTGGTTTTTGTATAAGATCCGTCGTCCATTTATTTGTAAGTCAATGTTCTAAACAAAGTGTTTGCTTTAGCAATGTCAATGAGATCATAATACGTTTACGTCTAAAGCGTAAATGTTTCATCTTTGTGGAATACTCGAGAAACTAAGTATACATGACGCTTAAGACATTTAACACATACGTGTTACAAAATGAAACACGTTTTGTATGTAGACTTATCTATTCTGCCGTGCGTACGTTGAACAAAATAACCTTAGGTTATTAATAAAATCTTTACTTTTTTGTAAATGGTAATACCAGCATAACAATGTGAATTATATTCAGTTGTTGTTATAGAGTTTAAATAAGCTTAAAGCAAGTTTTTTTAACAAATAAAGTTTTTACATAAATTCATACTATTATAATATAATCTTAGATAAAATTTTTGGCTTATAGTCTAAAGACTCATATTTTTATTTGGCAATGAATATGGCTGTACAGTACACAACGCGTCATAGGTAACATGTTCTTCAAAAGTTTCATAAGTTGTATTCTTAAATAAAATCAAAATATTTTTATTTCATTGATTTGTTTCATTCTCTAAGCAATCCTCAGTTAACGTTTTAGAGCTGAGAATCTGCTTGCCGAGTCCAGTTGTGCTCGCATTGTAAATGTTTTTTTGTCGTGATTTTTAACGATCTCGGTGGTACAATAGTTCCGGGCCTGAAATAAGAAAGAACCAGGTTCGTTTCCCGGTTGAACCAATTTAGAAAAGTAACTAATACTTTAATATTCTACATTTTGGCGTGAGTTTATATTTAATGTTTCAGCTTTTAAATTTCTGTCAAATCATAAATTGCTTACGTCAGCTTAGTATGGGATGTCCCTTATTTATTGTTGGATTAACGCAAGTGCAATTAACAGTAGAGACCCGACATGAAATCCTATCATATAGATATGCTTGCAGGTTGAATACAATGTACCTAATTTTGCGTGAGACCTTTATCATTACTGTATTCTGGCAAATAAACGTATCCTATTCTATTCTAATAACCTTCGTCAAATACAATACGTACTTATTGACATTTTTAAACGACAAAAGTGTCATAGTATATGTTACCCATGTCGCGTTGTCAACTTATTACATATCTAATTTGATTTTATGATAACATGATTTTGGCATTAAGTCTACTAATGTAATATCAGAGCTTCAAGCATACTTTTGAAATAATTATTTTAGATACTCTTGGCATCAATAGTAAACATATTTACTAGTTGAACAATAATATTGTTTTAAAAACCATAAGAGATTTAAATAAAATGTTATAAACATCTTTTTTATTAATTCAAACAGTCATATAGTATGTATATTAACATATAACTTGGTTTCATTAATTTTACATTATGGCGCCCATTTCATTATATGAAAACTTTTCTTTCACGAAATTTTCATCGAAATTTCATTTCACAGATCACATTTCACTTAATTTAATTGCACTGTAATGGAACACGGATGTTTTACATTTAATTAAATAATTAATAATGATGTTTTTCTGGTTGCTAAGAAATTTGAATTGAAAAACGACGCTTTTTTAATAAAAGTCTATATCTTTCTGCAAAGATTGATATAGGCATACCAGTATTCTAACTAATATAAGCCTATATTTTCTACTCTTACATCGGTTTTTGCACCTTTTAATTCGAATTCGAACGTATACTATCTATATAGAGTTTAATTTCTATGAAACGAAAACGCGAAAATGATTTTTAAATACATAATGCACGGAAGGGTTTATTTACACTTACACTAATATTTTTCTTTTTCACGTAAGCTCGTTAAAATATCCATACCATGAGAATTATATAGGGTTTTCTTAATTTACCCGAAGCATCTTTAGATCCTTTTTAAAATGGTATTCTTATCAAAGGAGCACTTTTTATTAAGTTTAATTTACTTTAATTTAAATTAAGTTTAATTTTATTTAAGGACTTTTCTTTTTGGTTTTATATATTTTATGGTTTTATATATTTTGCTTTTATTTTTAAATACATAACTCTCAAAACAATAACAAATCGCAGCAATTATAAAATAAGCTATAAATTGGGTGAGTCGGAATTATGTCGGAATACTTACAATGCTACCCAGTATTGTATATATGTATAGTATCCTAATACAGTACAATACTCTCAAAATGGCCGAACACATCGCACTGCTATTACAAAAGTGTTATAACTCAAAATATGTGAAATTCAAGATTATAACATTGTTGAACGTAAAATTTGATTTTCTATTCGTCAATAAAACCGTTGTTAGAATATTGTAAAAAACAACTAAAAGATATCTACCGAACTCTCATTTTGAGTTCGGTAGACACGCTTTATGTGAGCTAGTTCTGGCCAAAATAGTCCTTATTAAAAAATATGAAACATTTTTTTCTCTTTTATTTTTAAACATGTATAGTTGGCAAGTAGAAAATGACTTATATGTAAATTTATACGGTTCTTTCACGGGAAGCGAGTAATTCGTTTTTCGATTCTGAGAACTAAACTAGTGTATTAATCGCGCGACATGGTAACACACGGTAAGCTCCTATGTCATTTCCCGTTTAGATCATGGAGGCAGTCTCGATCTCTGATGTTTGAAAATAAAAAAAAAATGTGTACAAATATTATTTATGAGCTAAACGGGTTACAAACGTAGTGTGAAGAAGCATTTGGCCAGACCGGCAAAATGATAGTGACGGAGTGAAGATATTTGTGTTTTCCATCCGTTACTCTCATCTTTGGACTGTATTCGCACTTTCCATCAGGCGCGGTGCAGTCATTTTGCCGAGTCGCAATAAAAAAAAAAAAAAAATACTACCACGAATTTTTGTCATCCAAGTACGCAAAAGTTGTATTATGTATAACTTTAAGTACAAAGTTTTTGTTTCACTATAGGTGTATGTCATGTTGTATTCAGTGTCATGTGAACGGAAATGGTTTTTGCTTTTGCCTACCGATGGGAAAAACGAAGAGTGATGTATATATATATGTATAAATTGTTATTAGTATTAATAAAAAAGCATAATAAATTATCAGGGCCTCTGCCCTAAGATTATAATGGCAATTATAGTTAGCGAGCGATTTTGTAACCGCTAAGGACGTAAGTAAGAGTGATGGTGAAACTTTTTTTATAACACCAAGTGACGGGATGAACAACTCGTGCATCTGGTAAACTACAAGTACGTGGGTACTACAAGTACTTTACAGGTCCCATTCAATAACACTGGTCAACCGTGACCATGGGACCTGTAAAGGGCCCGAAACGTCGGTTTGTTTGAAAAAAAAAAACACAAAAACAAATATACGCGATTTAAATCTGGAAAACTAGTTTCATTTCTTAATGTTTTTATCATTATTTCGATTACTTCCATACCTAGAGATTCCTAAAGCTGAGAACTTCTATGGTGCAGTTGTTTGGAAATTATTATTAAACCGAATTATGGTGTGTTTGTCTTTGTTTTAATGATAAGAATACCATGTTCAGAGGTTCCAGAATAACCTAAGTAAGTAGTATGTACCTACCATTTATGTTAGATCGCAAGTGTAAATACTCCCTTTTTTTTGTTCGCAAGAAGCATAAAAACTGTTTTTACAGTATCTACAAGCGAAGCTCAATATTCATAGAATATAATAAACGCGACTAGCACTTAGTGTAAAAGTTATAAAGGTGAATACGTAACACAATGTGATCGACAATTTTTACGCTACTACAGATACTGTAAAATAGAAGAATAATTAGTAGATGATATATATTGTTAGTTTAAAGGTAAAAATCACATAAAAGCCAAATCGACTAATGGAGATAATTATGATTTTGTGTTTTACTTGTGATTTTGAGTTAATAATAATAATAATTACTTCAATTTGTCTTTCAGGTCATGGGAGAGGCGAGTTTTCTATAGAGATCTATTTTAGATAATAATAATAACGCACACACGCTCGCGCGCGCAATTACACCCAAACTCACGAAAGAAATAAAAGTAGGTCATGCAAATGTTTCTCCTGGCCTGGGAATTGAACTCGGGCCCTTTGCGTGGCAAACCAGCATGGTAACCGTTCGGCCACAGAGGCAGTTATGATATTATTGCACTTACAGATTTTCGAAATGCAGTTTAATAACAAACATTTTCTTGTCCTAGATTTTTGTTCATCTCAATGAAACAAAAATAAAAAAGTCTCCTTTTTGATCAAAATGGGACTTAGTGAGTCTTACCTTTTAATCGACGACATTTTACACAAGCGTCTGTGATCTATAAATATTAGATTTATGCTCAGTTGTGGCATGTATTACTGCAGAGGACCAGGTGGTGGTCTCTCTGTTGAAATTGGATCTACTCAAAAACACGTAAATTTAGTTAAAAATTGCCTACCACTTCATGGTTAAAATCCACCATAACGAACAAACACACTACCGCAAAATTGTAAATCTCTAACTGTTAATTAATTGGCCCATTTATTATAATTTTCTTTAACTAATATTTATCCCTAGAGCTTTTCACAATTTTGATTTCATGTTTCACAAGTGAAAGAAGTTATGTTACACATTTTATAGTGTTCTATTTCGCCTTGCATCTTTATTTTTTTATAACTTGACTGCGCGCTGTAGTTTTTAACAATATTACTTTGGGTTTCGCGCGGCATTTAGCAATTTATATTCTCCTTAGGTACTACGTCATAATATTTATATCTCATTTTCTTGTATAGAGTAAAGATATCAAAGATACCCCATTCATATCATCCCCCCACTCATGTATACACAAATATAACACTTAAGCCCATCAGTTTTGGCACTAAGTCACTCATTGGCACTTCAATGGCACTGTTACTAAATACTGGCACGGTGCGGAGGCAGGTTGAACGTCAAGGTGTCGTTGATGAAGTACTGCTCCTGTTCTTCATCATCAGGCAAATAATACCCATAGCTTCCATCATTGGACACCTGATCAGGCGCGTATTGGCTCCTTGGCATGTCACAGGTGATATCCCAGTTGTTTTCAAATGATTTTCTTCGTTTCGCGAACAGTATCGTCCCATCGAACGCGTACTCATCATCGAAATGCAGCACGGCGTCGTCGTAGAAGTAATTCTCCATACGTTTATTGCTTGTATTCCTTGCTATGTTCTTCATTAGCTTCTTTCGAGCATAGCTTGATTTTTCTGAATCGTAATCATCGACTAATGGGTCATTGCTACGGTTCTCAGATCGCAAGTTCATGGAGTATAGTGATGAGCTGCGAGGGCTGCTTTGTCCGATACTGTGTCTATATGGGTGTAAATATTGTTCATTGTTGTTATATCCCATTTCATACATCATCATTCCTTTGCGAAGTTGCTCACGTCTCTTTGCTACCATTTCTTTGAAGTCATCGGGATCTATTTGGAATTCGTTGGTTTTAGCATTCATGTATAAGTAGCCAGAGGCTGAGTTGAGACGGAGGGACTGTGAATTATTTTTTGAGGAATTCTTTTCTATGTAACGAGGCAGGCCACCCAGGCCTTGGTAGTTTTTCGATTTGATCTGCTTGATGTTCGTTGGTGGTACTGGTGACAGCGGATCGCGATAAAGTATTGACCTGGAATTGTAAATTTTGCTTTGAAATCCGGATTTTTTAACCTTTTGGAAAATATCGACTCATCCATAGAACAAAGTCCGATGTGATTATTAGCAAAAAGAGAATAAGTGCGTTTCGAGAATAATTTCGTTATTCAAACTAAGACCTATGTAAAGATGTTTTGAGAATTAATATATCTTATTTCATTTCGGAAATATAAAATCGAACAATGGTCGATCTGACATCCACAACGAACGAAAACACTTACTCTTGCACATAGATCTTTGTTCTACGGATGAGTCGATATGTGGTACAAAACCGGGCAATCATTATTCGCAAGTGGCGTATCTACATAATCGATTAATCAAAAGGGCTCCTTATGGTTTCCGGACGGTTCGCTCAGTATCTAGTCGAATAATAAAATACTTTGCCGTTGCGTCTTCACTGTTGTGCAAATGTATGCCTCCAAATAAAGATAAAAACAATGTCTACCTACTTATAAGATTTTTTATATTTTGTATTAGTTTGTTCGTAGCAGAAGGAATGAATGGCATCGAGACAAACCCAAGTAGGGTTTAACGGTGTTTTACATTATTTATGTATACTTTTTTCTTAAAACAATAAAATAAAAAAGAATAAAATGAAATATTAGATTGGCTTTAATACAATCGGTAGTTATTTCCGAGTTTTTACATAAACTATAAAAATTCATCGATCCGGCTGGATTCGAACCAGCACCCTCGAAGTCATGAAACAAACCAGAAGACCCAATGAATTTTTCTATGTACTTCTTGCAATCTTTGTTTTTGGTTTTTAACGACTTTTTTGCCGTAGCGCCATCTGTGAGAAATTTATTTAATCACTCAGAGAGGTACCTTTACAACTACCAGACGCTGACAAGAGATGTCGCTATAATTGTAATTTTTAAATTTTTTATCAAATGTCACAATGTTTTAATACCATGATATTCAATTTTTTTTTGTGAAATTACTTCACTATACTATAGCCAAATTTGATGTAGAATAAATGTCAACAAACAAAAACATGTTTTTTAGGGTTTCACCTCGGACTCTTTCACAGTTACCACAATTCCCCCGAAATTCAACTAGACTATGGATAATACTAAATCTTGAAGTCATGTTTATAATGAATATTATTGAACGGAAATTTCAAATCACCTAAAATGACATAAAAATGACCAGTAACTAATACCTACTTATCTATTTAAATTCCAAAGGGAGCAGGACGTGGGCAGACCAAGCCTTAATAATGAGTATTGAAAAAAATGTTCTTTTCCTATGCCATCATTGATTGCCTAGCAACGTTTTGTTGTTAAACATTCTACATAGAATTTGGTTAGAGTATAGTTTGTTATAATTTTAATAACAAAGATCGTACACTTAGAAAATTCATTCGATCCAGCTGGATTCGAACCAGCTCCTCGGGCAATCCGTGGCAGATAGTATGTCAATTAAGACACAGAATGTTTTCTATGTGCTTTTAGATCTTTGTTTATGGTTTCTAACCACATAAAATTCTTTCATAAAATTTTGGTAATTTTCATTTTTTGCATTGGGTTTTTTCGGTTTTTATTATTGAATCATTCTTTGTAACTGCATTGAAGATTTTTTCTGATTATTGTGCAATCTTTGTCATTGTCTGGAAAGTGGTATACTAACTTGTTAGGACCGAAGCAGTTGCAGGAACAGGAACAGACGCTAGGCGCGTAGTCGTCGTCGATGTACAGCGGGGCCATCGACGTGTCTCCTTGGCAAAGGACAGTGTTAACATAATCGAAGTAAACTTCAGTGAGGAGGTGTTTGAAGTAAGATTTTTTTTGTTGGTTCAATCAACTCCTCTATAGTAAAAAGCGAGGAGCTCCGTCCTTTTTGAGCAAAACGATTGTTAGTATGTGTTTGTATGGCGAGCCAATATTCGTTTCGAGTACGGGTTTCGTAGCTTGAATTAAAATATTTTCCCGTACTAATACGGCTCATTTTTGCTTAGGACACATGGCTTTATTTCAGAATTTATTTTTTTACTAACGAAATTAAAGCCATTTCAAAATGGATATCGTGTAGTTTACGTTCTATTTAGTTCAGATGATATAAAAAAAAAAATCAATGGTATATGTAAACTACCTGTAAAATACAGCGATTTTCTTGTAAAATTTCGAGGTAAGTTTGTGCTTTTCTTCTACCGTGAACATTTTTTGGAATCGTGTTTTCACACCACCGTACACTACCTCAATTTTACCATATATATTTTTTTTAAAGTCATTGATTCAACATTTTCACTGTTATGCAGAATCAACCAAAGTCATTTGAGGTTGTACAGACACTTAATCAGTGCTAAATGTTGGAGCATGACTCGAAAACATTATCATCATCAATCCATTCATATGTCCCACTGCTTGTCACGGGTATTCTCTTAGATGAAGGTAAAGTTAAAGAAGCCAAAGCCTTCGTCTGTCATGCGGGTTGGGGACTTCACACGTTTTCCGAGTGTTGTGAACATTCTTTGACGTGTAGGTTCCATTACGATGTTTTCATTCACCGAAAATCTCATGCTAAATTAAAAAAAAATTCAGAGGAGCGAGCCCGGGATTCGAACCCACGGCGTCTGCTTGAGGGTAGGTTTACCACCACACAATTAGGCTACTAAGGCTTTTTATTTTGTTCCTCGTGAAAAACTACTTATTATTTATTTATTGAGTATTGGCCACGAGTCATCAGCTTAAAAAGGAAAAAATAAATATATCGTCTGTTTAAAGGTAAAACCACATAAGTGACATTTACCACAAAAAGTCTTTATTTATATAGCTATGGTGAGAAAATCACTATCTTTCTGCACTTGAAGTTCAATAACAAAAAAGCTATTAAACTTTTTATCTGCAGAAAAAGATGGTGAATTTCTTACAACTGGTACATTGTAGATTTGGAGATTTTTTGTGGAAAATATCACTTATGTGGTTTTGCCTTTAAGCAGACGATATTAAGAATCTCAAAATGTAATATACTTAAGCTAAAAATTAATCTTTACAATTACAAAACGGCAGAATAAATATTTCACAATTTTATATAGGTGCCATTTTATTGGTGAGTCGTTTCAATAACAGCCTCAGACTAAGCCTCCACATAACCACGGATATGGAACAAGGATGTTTGTGTGTTGATTATGTTAGCTATGGTAGGAAGCGTTGTAGCCGTGTTCAAATTTACCAACACACCCAGACATGTATGGTTGACGTCAACTTTTGTTATTTCGTAATTATGTTGGTCTATGTGTGAACAACTTCAGTTAAATATATAAGCTACGACACTTTAAACTGCACGACTATCTGTCGTGCTCAATGGGAACGCGCCCATAAAATATTTTTTTTATTAAGAGTTTTGGCTTGGATACAAGTCTTTTGAGCAATGTCTTCGGTTAATTATCGGGATCCTCAATAAATATTTTCCATTGTGGTTCTACAACATTATGTTTTCATTTTCTCTTAAATAACTTAGTTTTCTTGTTTGGGCTTTCTAAATAGTCTTTTAAGCGGCGGGAGCCAATATTTATGTTTTTACTTTCAATATCAAATTATTTTCACTTTCAACAAAAACTTTGAATTAGTTATTATTGGAATTTTCAGGATAAATTCCTTCGTAATTTGGTTTAAAACAAGGAATATTTGGTTTAAAACAAGGAATATAGTTCTAACTTACTTCATCACTATTTATTTTTTCGTATTTTCTTCATAATATACTTCAAATAAAAATAATCTTGTCACTTCTTATGCTCTTAAAGTTCGTATTTATGTTGGGTGTAGGCCGCATAAAATAGGATTTTATGCTCTAATGCATAAAATAAAATCGTCGTTTAAGACCGAAGCAATGACGCCTGCGCCAACAGTCACGCACACTAGAACTTTATAAAATAAAGTTTTACTTTTATTTTTTTTATCCGTGTTATATATCTAATAGTTGTAATTTTACATTCAATTTTAATTAAATAATCGTTTATTTGTAATATTGCTGTTTAATGTCCTCGCAATCGAAGTGAAAAGCAGAGTGTATATAACTCGTTCATAAAACCCATTTTACCCTCGACTTAAGTATCGACTCATATACACTCGTCTCGGGTAAAATGACGCGTTTGATGTACATGTTGTACAATCTACTATTGTAAAAAGTGAAAAAAGAAAAAGTTTAAAAGCCGTTACCAGTGGAGACGTGGCGCGCGCTGGCCGGCAGCGCGGGCATCCGCGTCCCGCGCGCCACGCCGCGCAGCACGGCGCCGTCCGCCGTGATCACGTCGCCCTCCAGCCGCACGGCCACCTGCTGCGCCTGCGCAACACACCCACGCGTTACTCACATTTCTGTCATCACAATATGACTATGAAAAATAATCATATCGCTGTTTTTCAAGAAATGGCTTTTTGCGTGAATAAACCACAGTTTTCAATGGAAATGATGACGTCATAATTTACTCCAACATTGTACCATTGTAGCAAAGATATGGCAGCAGTGTTTGAATTACTGGTAATTCAAATACGTATTGGAAAAACAAAATTCATATTCCAATTGCTACCTAAAAATGTATTTTGTAAATGATATTTCAAATAAAATATGTACTGTGCGGTGTCCGGTTAGGGTAAATAATACTTTTATTTTGTGATTTATACTTTAAGAGTAGAGTATGTATTTTTCCCAGCCCTGTATTCGTCGACTAGCGTACCAGATACGCCTCAGTTTCTTAAAATTATCTTCCTGACGAATTAAATCATTTTGAGATAGGCCGGTATAAATAAGGAATGGCTAGTGTTCAACGTAGTTCAAATGGTGGACAACTTCAGTAAATGAACTACAATTCATTGTGATTGTTTGATGTCGCTCAAGGAAGTAAAGACCTTTGCATACTACAGATTTTCTATTTTTCCTCGATGATCTTTTTTTCTTCTCTAATAATTTAATTTTTACTTAATTTTCTAATAGAAGTCTGCGAGGGCTGTAAGTAAACGCTGTCGAAATAGAACGTACCTGCTCTGCCTGCTGTTGATCCCGCTTCTCGTCCTCAGTGTTCATGGTCACGAACCGCAGCACGAGCAGGTTGAGGCAAGCGGCCACGATGGCCAGCCCGAAAAGGATGAAGATTAAAGCGAACATCACATACGAAGGCTTGCGGTTTAACGCGTTGTCCTTTTGGAGGGCTACCATGTCGCCGAAACCTGGGGAGTAATAGAAGGTTTATTATAGGAAGTTGTATTTATTTAACAAGTTATAGGATAGTCTGCGCGATGGAATGACATTTCACAGAAAACTTT